GCCACCGCGGCTCCCTGCTGCTCCCCAGGTCCCCGCTGTCCCCGCGCCCTCACCAGATGTCGACCTTCTCAGAGACGGGCTCATTGCGGATCACCTCAGGTGCCATCCAGGCCACCGTGCCAGCAAAGGACATCTTGGTGCTCTTGTCAATGAGCTCCTTGGAGGTGCCGAAATCCGAGATCTTCACCACGTCGTCGTAGGTGATGAGCATGCTGGGGGGCGGCCGCTCAGCGTCACGCCAGGGGCACAGGGGTGGCATCACCATGGGCACGTCCATGCCACTGCCACTGCCACTGCCACTGCCACTGCCACGGACACCACAGCACCACGGGCACGGCACCGTTATGGACACGGCGCTGCCATGGTTTTGCCACTGCCGTGGGGTTGGGGCACCACTATGGACATTGTGGACATGGCACCAACACGGAATCACTGTGGACATGTCAATGTCATGGATGTGGCACCACTATGGACATGTCAGTGTCATGGATGTGGCACCACCATGGACATGTCAATGTCATGGATGTGGCAGCAGCACGGATGTGGCACCACCATGGACACAGAATCACTGTGGACATGTTAATGTCATGGATGTGGCAGCAGCACGGATGTGGCACCACCATGGACATGTCAATGTCATGGATGTGACACCACGATGGACACATCATCATCGCCACAGACACATCAACACCACAGACACTGGGGCACAGCTCTGCTATGGCCAAGTCACCACCATGGACACGCATCCCTACCACCAAAGCTTTGCCATCACCGCAGTTGTGCCCCCCAGCGCCTCCCCCAGCAGCGCCCACCCAGCAGCGCCCACCCAGCACCCAGGGGCGCTCGCTGAGCCCCCATCCCCGCTCACTTGGGTGACTTGAGGTCGCGGTGGATGATCTTGTGGAGGTGCAGGTAGTTCATGCCGCCGGCGATGCCCATGGACCAATCCACCAGGAGCGAAGGGGTGACCTTGCGCCCGGCCCGCAGCACCTCGTACAGCTGGCCTTGGGCGCAGAACTCCATGATGATGCAGTAGCAGGGCGCCTGGGTGCACACACCCCTGCTGGCACAGGGCACCGTCAGCGCGGCACCCACTGTCGTGGGGGCACCCGTTGTTGTGGGGGCACCCGGCTGCACCCGGTGCCCGTGGCTGCTGGGTGCCATCTGGACCGAGGCACCCGTCAGGACCGGGGGCACCCAGCTGCATCCCAGCACCCATCAGCACCGGGCACCCATTTGTATCCCCCCATCTCTCCCCATTCCCGCTGCTCTGCGCCACGCACGGGAGCTGCCCGCGTCCCCGCGTTGCTGCCGCTCCCCCCATGCAGCCCCACGCCGTGCCCCAGCGTCCCCCACGAAGCCATACCCACGCTCTGACCATGCCGTGTCCGTGCCCACGTCCACAACACTCTCCATGTCCGCGCCGTGTCCGTGCCACGCCATGCCCCCATGCCACATCCACGGCGCTGCATCCCTGCTGCGTCCCGTGCTCCATGCAATCTCCGTGCTGCGTCCCCCATGCTGCATGCCCCACGC